CATTATACAATTATCATTATTTATGAGGAAAAACATTTATTTTTTCAAGAATAAAAGAATAAATGATTTAAAAACATAATTATCAATTATAAATTATTGTCCCATAGCAAAAAGAAATGGCATTTTTCCATTTTATCTCCATTCATTCAGCATTTTCTAGCCATTTTTCATTTTAAAAACATTTTTCCTACATTTCTCTATCTTTCAATTTTCCAAAACCATTTTTTCAGAACCATTTCAAAACCATTTTTGTTAGAAAATGCTTTTTAAATGGTAAACCTTCACCATTTTTTCTCCATTTACTTGAGTAAATGGTAAAGAAATGCCAGTTTGGTGATCTAACTTGCTTGAGCTTGCCATTTTTCTTCCATTTATTTTCTGAGAAATGGAAAAATGAAGAAATGGTTAGTTTTAGGCATATTCTTAACCCTTAAGATTTGTCAGCAGTTAATTGATGCCAGGTGCCAAGTTTGTATAATGGGCCAGAGGCTATCAGATTTCCTCCCCAGCTCTGTGGTGACCGCCTTTCTCAGTTATTTTAAACATTGGACAAAAGCACTTCGACCTAGCTGGTAGTGATGGAGCTTAGATGGCTGAATTATTCTTCAAGGAAGATTGGGGTTTTTAGTATTTTTGATGCTGAAAAAACTGTACATTGATGATCAAAGCAGAATTATAAGATAACGTAACTTCTTGGAGAATGATTATCTGACAGTTTTAATGTTTCTAATATTTGGGGAGTGGTGGAGAAGAAAAACAACACATTTACCATCACTGAAAGGGTATTCTTTTTGAGAAGTAAGTATATATATTCACATATTTTTATTAATGTCAACAACACAAAAATGCTTTTTCTAAAGAAAACATGTACATTAGGAGTGTCCACTGATCATATTGATGCAATAATTAATTTATAAACCAATCTAGTTAAAACTTAGACTGATCGAGGGACACTATTGTAAATTCTTATAAACTTCAATTATTAACTATTTTCTTGCTCACTTTTCTCAGGTAAATGGTTAAATTTCTTCTGCAATCTGTTCAACCTATTAAATCATTTGTTTCTGATGAAATAGTGAATATACAGGCAGGGCAGTACTTGTACATGTATACTTATATTGTTCATGAATACAGACCTCGTAAAAGTTATTAGATTTATGCTACAGGAGTAACGATCAGCTGCAGTAGTGAAAAAAATTTGACAAAACAGTTTTCTGTTCTTTTCTCATTATGCATTTTGTTTATTTTTAGAATATGTACTGCTTGCATATGGAACACCAAAATGAACATGGAAACTGTAAATTGTCAAAGATGCAGACTACCATTATTCAAATCGAATTAGGAGATTAATCCATCAAAATTTCTAGGAATGCAAAACAAAGTTTGTGAAAAAATAAAACATTTGACCTTTGTTTCATGACTGACTCTACTACCAAGAAGATGGATTTTCAAAGCGCTTATTCTGTGGATATTGAGAACCCAGCTTTTTTCATTTTTCAATTATTGTAAAAATGTTTTTAAAATGGATATTAAATGGTTAAAACAAAAACCATTTATTTTTCATTTTTCTTCTCATTTGCATAAATGGTTTTGGAATGGTTAATTTGCATGTTATAAGGCCCAAAAAAATGGAGTTTGAATGGATGTTAAATGAGGTTTGAATGGAAATAAAATGAAAAATGGTTTTTAAATGATAATCCTTTCTGTTGAGAATTCTTGAAACTGTTGATGATATAAAATGGCTCCCGAATGGTTTTAAAATGGTCAGAAAAGAAATGTCTTTTAAATGGTAATTAAATGGATTTCATTTTGATAAGGGGTGAATATCAATGGAATATTATTGATGTACAATTGATAAATTTATATCGTAAACAATGTTTGGAAACTGGGGATTTTGTTTTCTGTTTGTTTGTGTTTTTTATTTAATTTTTTTCTTTGTATTAATGGTTTGAACATATTTTATTGTATAAATAATATACAAATGGTTTGAACACAAGTTCTAACAACTTACGAGGTTCTCACCATAAATGTCTACAACTGTCAAGATCTATATACATTAATTACATGATAAATATATAACTAACTAGAGTTTTAGTGTAAGGCTGTAATAATTAATTAAATCTGCCAGAATCTCTTAAAAATTTTTGTTCAGATTGAAAAATATATTTATTGATTTCAACATTTTGTGACTCATCTCCCCACAGAAGTAGGTGACAATCAATAATATTCAATTTAGTGTTTGGTTTAATAAGACACAGTAGGTTTCTAAATAGTTCCTCTCTAGCATGTTGATATTTATTACATACAAAGAAGAAATGATCGATATATGGGTCTTCTGGTGTACCACATGACTAATTTATAGGACTCTCAATAATGTTTCTTTTATAAAGATCATAATTTAATTGTATTTATTTAATTAAATAAATCTTGAAAAGGATAGAATGCAAGTTATTTAAACTTAAAAGATCCTTTCCTCATTATACAAGCAGTGTATAAAATATGATTGTCATAACAGTTATATCATACAAGCAATATATATTAATTTGAACAAGAAGATTGCATGTTTATCAACTTCATGCAGATGGATCAAGTACTTAATGAATTTTTTGAGAATTTGGAAATTTATCACAGTTTCAATCACCTTAAGTAATAAAATAAAATTGTCTCTCATATGGTGTGTACATTAATTTGTTAGACACAATTTGTGCAATAAGTTATTCATGTTTCATGCTGGTAGCAATTGAACTTAACATTTTGTAATATTTTGTATTATATGTTGAAATGCGATAAGATGTATGTCTTAAGCAATAAATAAATAATAATAATATATTAATGATGTGAATTAATTAATTTAACAAAACAAAGGGAAACACTGTAATATAGTAAATGTCATCTGATTCATGTTTTGGTTTCTTAAAAATGCTTTTAACTATATAAATACATATGTTTACATATTGAATTTAGTTTAATCTTATAAATCTTCTGCCATTTGCCTTTATTGTATATGTTGTGCCTCTTTCATTAAACATCATTAGTGAACCTGATACAAGTCACATGCAGGCATCTTCAATTACACACAGGGAAGCATCTTGTGTATACACTTGCTGACACCTGGGCATGGTGGTATAATCAACTCCAGACCTATTGTTTAAACACCTGTTTGGTTCACACATGGTATAATTTGTATAGATCATGTAGATGTGATATACACCTGACCTAGTAATTTGAATCTGAATTCCAATTCACTGATCTTACATTGTTTAACTTACAGTATTTCTACATCTAGTAAATAAACTAATTCCTAAATTCTCATTAATTATTTTCACTTCCTTATATCACAATTATGCAAGAATAAAAGAAAGTGATTTAAAAATAAATTAATTGGAATTATCATTATAAATTGATTTGAACATCAATGAATTATTGAAATTCACTTCAAAGGATTGGATACAAGTAAATCTTTCAACTTAATAGATCCTTTCCTCATTTTACAAACAATGAATAAAATATGAATGTCAAAACAAATAAATTGAGTTATTTTACAGTTATGTTATACATGCAACAAGAAGATTGCATGTTTATCAAATTTATCCCAGTTTTAATTAAATATTAAAGAAGCATACAAATTGAGTAAATGAAAATCATTTAATTTGAATTAAATACTGAATAATAGCATTATAAAACAAAGTTATATACTAATTTAGTAAGGACGTCAGTCATAAGGAAAATAAGAATTTTTTGGCAATGAATTATTCACAGTTTCCATATGTCCAGCTCTAGCCACGTGGAGGCCTCCTTTATCTAGAGCCATAATTTAAAACATTTTGGAAAAATAAAAATAAAAAAGTATTGTGTTTGAGACAATAATTAAGAACAGTTCTCCAAATACAATCTCATCCTTGGTATTATTAGTAATTCCTGTGGTTTTCTTTGCTTTTAATTAAGTTTTAATGTACATATTATGTGCTATTGTTTAGTTCATTCTTTTTTAAAATGCTATTGACCAAATAACCTAGCTTTATGCATTTTGCTAAGTTTTGGTGTTCTTTGTGTATGTATTTCTTTATAACTTCCATATTTTTTTAAAGCTCTAATTCCATCTATTCCAACTCATTTTAACAAATTTTCTTTATTTTTCTCATTCATTTCTAAAAAGATTAAATGTTTAAGTGGAAAATAACAATATTTTTATTTTCCCCCATATGATATCCAAAATATGTTTGTTTGGCTTTTCTTTAGAGGTTAATTTTCCATTTTCTTTCTTTCTTTCTTTTTTTTAAATTTATTTTTCAAATTCAAAATTATGACTCTTATTTGGGGTGGCCTCCACGTGGCAAGAACTGGGCAACGTAATCAGACTTTTCTTTTTAAAGTCTATTTAAAACGGCTAACTATCCCAATGTTTGATAATCTAAAAGTATTTGATAATCTAAAAGTAAATTTTTTTTCTAATATTAAGTCAAAATTTTTTAATAAGAAACTTATGTTATAAATTTTTCTATTATTATTAGTTTTAATACTTAATTATATGTTGTTGTTTTTTTCCTTAGCTAATATTCTAATATTTAAATTATCCTGATGACCAACATCCTCGTTAATTATTATTTTTTTTAAAAAAGAAATAAGGTATATAATATATAGTGCAAAATTTAAATAAAAACGTAATACGAGACTGACATATTACAAAGCGGATTTTAAAAAAACAATCGGGCGTGGTATACGGTATACTATGAAACCCGTCAATGGCGGCTGACTTCCTCCAATATTTACGATAAAATGGGCTCTAAAACCCTAGGGGTAAGGATTGACCTCAAAAAGTTTATGTTTTTGGGGTATTAGTATCCGTATCAATTGATATCCACAGACATTGCAGTATTTCATTAGTCATTTCGGCGCATTCTACTTACATTTCGGCAGAAACCCGACATTTCGGCGTTTCGTGTCACCCAATATTTTTCCGACTTTCAGTTATTCTGATCTCAGATCAGAGCTGTACTCACACTTTGGGGGTACTGCAAATACCACGCATACGACTGAGTAAAGTGTTATTAATTCCAATCGCAAATGCGCCATTGGTAAAACTTCACGTAATGAAACGTCAAAGGAAGTTAATAATTAATAAGCAACTAGCAAAACAGCAATAACGAGAGTTTGATGGATTATACTGTTTACATCCGGTTAATGAGATATAAAATAGCTCGTTCGAGGACATTTCGTACTAGCTAAAATTATGGCCAGGAATCCAATGAGAGAGAAAGAGACAGTTGGGGGGGGGATCGAAAAAATTTCCTTGACAAAATAAAAAAGAATTTCACTGAAGTAAGCACACTATTAGCCAAAATCAAGAATTATGAATGCGTAAGCTGTCTGATCTTTGACCAGATGAGCTCAAAACAAAAATAAAATAATAACAAAATTAAAAAACAAAAGAAAACAAAAACAAACAAACACATAAAATCACAGATAAATTGAAACAAAATTCATAAATACACGTACACATGTACATATAATTCCCTTTTCTTTAGGATTTGCACACAAGATTCTAATTTTTAAGCTTTAACTTTGAGGTTTACTTGATTTATCCCCTGAACACACATTTCTTAAATCCAGATTGAAATCAATATTAGTTAATTTAAGAAACATCAATTATATTTGTATTGTTACCGTTTCCTATCACCCGGAGAATCAAAGTTAAACGTCACCTGTCCTTTTTGGAAGAAATATCAGTTCTTTAATTCACAAAGTACAATGTACGTACAACTACATTTATCCAGTTATAATCAGGAAATTCAGTAATAATAATTAAAAAATCTCGTATATTTCTTTTAACTTTTTTCAGTCTTACCGAATTAAGTTGCACAGTGGCACTTCGATCGTTCGTCTGTTTAATTACTAGTAGTTCGACCGCCTTCTTTCTTTATTAATTTTGTTTCTTCAAATACACAAAAGAAAATCTGCTTCAGAATCTGTCATTTACTAAAAACAGGTAAAAATTTCTGTACCACACATATGTGACTTTTCTCCGGAAGTGAATCAAGTTCAGAATATTAATTTGATCACACTCCAGTCTGTGCGCCATCAACGAAAGCGTATGCGACAAAATTGTAGGAAAGGCAGTTAAATATCTCATATGAAGAAATTGTTATTTCTATCCCCAAAATTTTGAGGAGTGAACACATTTTTCTTTGAATTTAAAATTCACCGATTTTTTTAAATTGTAGTTTTTGGGAACTGTGTCGACTTTTAACAGTAATATTGAAATAATTTATAGTGTTCATCGGAATAAATTTGTAATATTTGTCCATAAATTTATTTAATATTCTTCCTAATACGAGTACTTTGTTACTCTGACATTACAAACAGAAAGGATGAGTTATAACCGAGACTTTGACATAACAAGCCGAAACTTTGAAATAACAAGACGAACTTTAATATTATAAACCAATACTTTGACATTACAAGAAGATACTTTGACAGAACAACCCGATAATTTTAAAGCAAATAGAAAATGACTTTGGACCCCCCCCCCCCCCCCTAGAAAACGTGGACCCCACCATCACGAAATAGGTGTTTTTCACGTTTGGAAAGTGGATTTTACCTTTTTTTTTTGCTTGTCAAGAAATTTTTGGGTAAGATTTTTTTTTTACTGGGATGGACACCCCCCCCCCCCCTGGAAAAAAATTCCTGGATCCGCGCCTGTGTTACATGCCGATACTTTGATATAACAAGCCGATACTTTGACATAACAAGCCGATATTTTGATATGAAATTACAAGCCGATATTTCGACATTAAATTTCAATCCGATACTTTGAAATAACAAGCCGATACTTTGACATTGCAAGCAGATACTTTGATATTAAATTACAATCCGATACTTTGACTTTACAAGCCGATACTTTGACATTACAAGCTGATACTTTGACATTACAAGCTGATATTTTTTTATTACATGCTGATACTGTTATATTACTAGCTGATACATTGCCATTATATACAAGCTGATTCTTTGATATTACAAACCAAGACGTTGAGTCATATACTTTGATATTCCACGCCGATTCTTTAACACAACAAGCCACATATCAAACCGATACTTTGATTTTCAAACCGATGACAAAAGAAACCGATACTTTGACATTACAAGCTAATAATTTTACATAACAGGCTGATACTTTAACGTTACAAGCTAATACTTTGACAGTAAAAACCGATACATTACAAACGGATACCTTGTCATTGCATGTATGATGATACTTCTTCATTGTGTGACGATACCTAAGAATGTATTGATGGTTTGCTATCTTCTGATAAAACTTTAAATTGTGGCGCTATTTTCAAACTAAAACTTCGACTTAAAACCAAGGCGAAGATTATTTTTCCCTTTCAAAAATATTCATTACCAAGATAAATTACAATCCCAATTTCTCCAACAAATGCAATCTATTTTCCAGGAGTGCTAAAATGACCCCTGTTTAGATTTTTGCAACTTCTTTAAAATATCTCACCAAAATATGATTATTTTCAACAAATTGGGAAAATGTTTTTGAAAGATACAATACATTCTCAGTAAATGACCCCCCCCCCTTTCCCATTTTGTATCCTGGGGATACAAAATTTTAACTTTAGGCAGAGAATTTACCTTATAATAACCTTTCAAGTAGTTTGTCTGCTATATGATCAGGTAAGAGTAAAGTTTTCAAAGAAATAATGAATTCTCAAAATACAGCCAAACCACATTATCTCGAACAGGACCAAGTTTAAATTTTGATATAGCCAGGGTAAATAAAAACCATTAAGAAATTAATTTTCAAAGATACTTGTATTAAGATTCAGAATAAAAATTGTTCATAAAAAAGTAAATTCCATATACATGTACATGTACATGTAGCACGGTAATATTAATTTTAATTTTCAAATTTAGTCATATAAGTACATTTTTAAAATGTACACCTATACAACCGTAAATTAGTTTTAAAAAATATATCAATAAAAATTATTTTTTAAAAAAACCCAAACAAAACAATACATTAAAATCCATCAAGAATAAAGGTATTAAAAAACAAAACAAACAAACAAACAAAACATGAGGCCCATGTCTAGATGGTCACTTGAGTATCACCAGTATTTCCACATACTTTCAGCTATCAATAAGTCACATACACGAGCTTCATGTTGCTCTAGCATAGCTTTTCAGCGAAACCTAAAAACTTCATATTCTCTTCTCTTTGACAATGGACTACTAATGTTTTTTTTTCTCTGTCATATAGTTTTAATTAACTCACATAAAAACTAACCTTGAATTCTTCAAAATAACCAGGAAACACTGACAGACCATTGAGACCTTAGCAATCTTTGTAAATAGGAAGAGTATATAATATATCTCCGCTTCATACTTACATACATTTCCGAAAGTCAAGGTTTGTAACAAACAGACAGACAATTAAAGTGCTACATACATTATACATGTAACTTAATGTCCCCAAATTAATGTCACTTTATTAAAAAACAAGTACACAAAGTAATTTAATTCACATTAGAGTCCTATTCAAAGGTTTTAACTCCTAAAATACATGCCAATTGGAATTATTAGTCCCCTACCGGTGAAACCGGAGGGGACTATAGGTTTCCTCTGAGTCTGTCCGTCCGTCTGTCCGTCCGTCTGTCTGTCTGTCTGTCTGTCTGTCCGTCTGTCTGTCTGTCTGTCCCTCTGTCTGTCTGTCAGTCTGTCCCACTTGGTTTTCCGCACTTTTTTCCTAAACGCTTGCAGATATTGAGCTGATTTTTGGTATGTGAGTGTATCTTGATGAGTTACAGATCAAGTTTGCATTTCGTTCCGCTTCATTGATTTTTGACGGAATTACGGCCTTTTCAATTTTTACGGGTTTTCCGCAATTTTCTTCTAAACGCTTTCAGATATTGAGCTGATTTTTGGTATGTGGCTTTACCTTGATTAGTTATAGATCAAGTTTGCATTTTGTTCCGCTTCATTAATTTTTGACGGAATTATGGCATTTTCAATTCTTAACGGGAACAGAACCAGATTACACTTGCCGGTAGGGGACTAGTATTGCTCATGCAATACTCTCAGAATGCTTGTTTAGTTTGGTACTAAGGATATATATAATGTATTATAAAAATGCAAACAATTTCAATATATGTCAGGAAGTAAAAATTACTTGATATAATACATATGCATAATGTAAATTACTTTTTTATTCGTAAGTACTTTATTTTTACATAAATATGATAGATACTTTATAATAAAACAGTTAAAGTATATCATTGAGGGAGTCAGCAAGATTCCAGTTCCCCTCGAGCAAGCTTATTTCCCTCAGCTGCACCTCAGGAAATAGACTTGCTCTTGGGGAACTGGAATCTTGCTGACTCCCTCAATGATATACTTTAACTGTATTTGACTCCAGGTTTAGAAACTCCCTAAAATTACAACTCGCAAATAATTGCAAGTACCAAGAAAGTGAACTTGCAATTTTATAAGACTACTTACAATTTTCATACAAAGTTAAATTTATTTAAATTAAATACATGTAACTTAAGAAAAAAGTACCGGTAATTAATTTAAACAATATTTTATTATGATTAAACATAACTGGATTGGACAGCAGGCACTGCCTATATAAGTCCTCTCCACAATACAGGTCAAGTCATACATGTTACAAGTAAATATTAATTACATAACATTGAAAAAATATATACATGTGTATATTCTAAAGAGATTTATATATATATATATATATATATATATATATATATATATATATATATATATATACATACAAAAAGAAGACAAAATAAGTAAGGAAAAAAAAATATAAATGAGCTGATGATACTATATAAGTTTGCATTTAACATATATGACTGATAATTATAACAAGAGGCCCATGGGCCACATCGCTCACCTGAGTCATCTTGGCCCAGCTCTTCAAATTTTAAAAAAACTGAATTATTATGACCCAATATTCTGGCTTTATCGAAATTTAGACCAAATGTGTCCTGATATAAGTAAATTAAATCCACACAATATGGGGATGCTTGAATTATAATTTTCAGTGACAAAATCTGTACTTTATACTTAGAAGTTTTAAGGCTTTGGACATGCATATACAATAAT